AGGAAACTTAAAAAAAAAAAAAAAAAAAAAAAACACCAGGCTACTTACTGTCTGAGGTTAAATATTTTTAAAGGAAGTAAAAACTATTGATAAGACTATATTCAACGACAAATAAATTTTACTGAGGGTATTCCGATTTGCATAGAAATGAGTAAAAATTACAGTTAAGCTGCTACCTTACCACTTTCAAATTTTCAAGTCAACATCTGATAGAGATTTTGATACGACTAATACAGACCAAGTTTTGGCTGTTGTCTTTCCTAATAGTAGCATTTACTATTATATTAGTAACCTTAATTCTAGCGTATGACTTGACAAGAAAAAACTTTTAACAATAGTAAAATTATAACCAAAGTTGTATATACTCTTTCGTACATAACTTTTTTATTTTTACCATACTGTATAGATATATTTTCCCATTTTTCCCATTTTGTTTTTCAATAACAATATTTAAATGAGTCCAAATGTATGTATGTTGATTATCAATTTATGTATACCTTGTTTATTTTATCTCTTAGAAAGCCATCACTTACAAAACTTTTTTTTTTTTTTTTTCAGGCCCCGAAGGTGACCCCATTTATTGCCTCCGTCGCATGACTATTTAAGGGTCGGAGGTCCATCCCTTAACAGTCTTACAATAATGTGTTAAAACATGAAAAGTTAACATAGTATTAACATAAAGTAATTTACGGCAAAACTTTTTTTTGAAAAATTGAATATGTAAAGGAGGTTATAAGTTCAAGACATAGAAAAATATTACTAAATCTACATTATGCCTTAAACAAAAACATAATTACTTTTTTCTATATTTATGAGTAATACACAAACTAATGATACTAATGGGGTTAGCTAGGAGGCTTGACGATAGAATAAATAGACATACGAAAAAGGATGATTATTTACAAAAGAAAACAACAATATAACACAACAAAAACATCAAAGACAAATACTTTGCGGCCAGGGCACGTTCAAAAATACTACAAACATGAATATATTCTTCCATGTATGCTCAAACAAAGCTAGGTATGAAAACTGAAAAGACAAAGGTCGCTCCTAACATCAACATACGAACAAGTATTTTGATGATTCACATTAATCATAATCAGATTGGAACAAAAAATTTGGATAGGTCTCTATTATATTATGATTAATGACATATATTTAAAATAGTATGCCAGTCTTTTTTAAATTGGTCAAGATTTCCACATTGGATAGCTTTTTCTTCATTTACCTTTAAAACATATGAAATATACTTTATAGCACCAGCAAAAGATAGCATTGTTTTATTAGTTTTACATTTAAAAATATACATTTTGACATATAAAAGAACTAAATTGTTTACAATATTTATTGTATTGTTTCCTTTAGTGTAACCAAAAAGCATAGTTTCTTTATTCAAGTTTGGCATGTTTAGTTTATCTATACAAATTTCGTGTATTAATTTATTGCTGTGAATGCATTCCCAAAAGATATGTTCTATAGTTTCATCATGAAGATTACAAAGGCTACATAAGGGACTGTTAATATATTTCATTTTGAACAAAAGATTATTTGTACCCAAAATCCTATGGATAAGTCTTACTTGGAACCATTGTAAATAAGTATCTTTTGTCAATTTGAATGGTAAATTATATATATTCTTCCAGTATTCATCATCATTTGGGAGGCATAGTTTTTGTGACCATTTGACCTGACAAACGGGCTTGCTGAAATTGACATTAAGCGAATCATACATATATTTTGAGCCTTTTTGGTCTTTAATTATCCCTTTAATGTGTATTGGAATTGTTGGCAATTTTTCTCTCTTAAAAGTTAAAGGGTTGAAGCAGACATTTTGAAAAAAGTTTGTAACTGCTTTTTTAATTCCTAAATATAAAAGATGATTGATATTTATATTGTAGATTTTGCCTAATTCTTCTGGTGTATAAAACTGGCCATTGTCTTGTAAGATATCATAAATACAACGAATTCCCTTATCATACCAAGATTTCCAAAAAATACCTTTATTGCCAATAGTAATGTTCTGATTGTAAAATAAAGGTAACTTACGAAACTTAATAAATATTCTGTGTAGTATTTCATGTACATAAAAATAGTTCTCTGTTTTTGATCATATAGACAGCAAGTCTAGGTAACAGCTATTGACAGCATGTATACACAGATTTTAGAGGTGCTATTGATTCAGTACAATGCATAAAAAGACCTTAACCTACGTCAGCTTATATATATATTTAACAATAAAAGTCTGAATCACATCCTATGACTCAAAATACCTCCAAATGGAGGTAAACAGAGATGCTAGGATACACTGAATATTTATTTCAACATTAAAATGGGACAAATGCACAAGTTTTTGGTTATACAACGGAATTATCGATAGTAAACTTTGTTTGGTGGTTATACACTTGGTCACAAATATGGGTTTTTCTACAACCCAACATAGTCCTTTAAAGAAAGGAGGCACAGACTTACTATTCAGTTCTCTTTATTCGTGTTGCCAAAAGTGTCTTCTATGTATCGTATTCTAGTACTATTTGCTGAATGTAAAATATATGTGTACGTATAATGCCGTGTAACGTTTGAAGGCTCACAAACCCAATCGTTCATATCAACAAATAGTGGTGTGTGTCATTATATATTGGAAACATTCCCTTATGTTAATTCACCAACTTTAGTTTTTGCATATTATTATGCTCATTATCAGTATATACGTTGTTACATTGTTACATTATATCTTAACCAATTTTGCATTACTTGAATATCCTGTACTAGTATACGTTGTAACAAAATCAGAGGATGTTCAAAGTCAGCTGTAATGCAATTGATGTATGTGAAAGTTATAACAGTTTCTATATAATTTGAAAATTTTGTACCAGCAAGAGTAACCTCTCTTTATATTCTTGGCCCCGCCTATTAATTTTCGTCTATTTCCGTAATAAATCCATATATGGAAGTTGCAAAATCAATCGCGTTAGAATGTAAAAGGAAAGTGTGGTGTCGTTAACCTGAGTGTGTCAAATTCATGCAGTTACATTCTCAACGTCATGATGCACAACATTAAACGTATTGTGTACGTTCTATCGTTTATATTTTTACGTGTCGCAAATTTGAAGTTATACATTTATAAATTTAGTTTGCAATTTATCTAAGTTGCATGTTAACAGCTTTCATTTTATCAAATCGAGATAATCAAAATGCTTAATAGCAGTGCAGTATGTAACTCTCGGATCGACAATTAGATTTTTACTAATCTGTTTAGTAGAACCGAAGTATGCATTGTCAAGTTTCAAAGGCTGGATTTTGGCAACGAATAGCCTCCATAATGAAGCACCTTTTGTTTCTTATATGCTACGTTATATAGCAGCAACTACAACTTTGATTCATAAAAGTGAAAATATATGATTTGATCTTTTCTAAATGACACAAAATATGTGTCAACACTAATAAAGGAAATAATTCTTCATGTAACGAAACAAATGATCATTATGGCAATAATCACGTTTTTCCGCACGTACATGTAATAGACGCATAATCATCAATCAAGAAACAACGCAATTTCTCTTAATACGATGTTTACGTGTTAAGAGGCATTGTTTTGTGAATTATTCAAAATAATTCCAAACATCCGTCTGAAATAAGGCTTTTCCAGTGCCATTATTTCTGGGTCTTAAAACTATTCTTAGAGTATATGCAAAGTAGAATTAAGCAGAAAATTACTTAAAATAATATAAAATATTTGCATGGCTATGAGAACAATATTTGCGCTTGTTAAGAAAGATTTGCTAGACATTTAGGTAAATCATTAAAACATCTTGAGGTCATGAGTGACTGGAAAATAGCATGATCTATTTTTTAAAGTGGATAGATCAAATAAAAATCTGGGATATGTATACGCTGGAGGTCTCAAGCTTATTAGCTTAATAAGATAGTAAGATAGGTAAAGTAAATTTGTTAACGATGTAGTTACAGATCAATATACTTTCAAACAAGTGTGGTGCATAACCCTTTCATCTATTTGTTGCTTTTTTGTATTTAATGTTTTAGGCATTAGGACTTTTGTGTATTTGCTAGTGATGGACCGATAAGTCTGTTCCAAGGTGGTGTAACACGGGGTAATTATTTCGATAAGCAGCATGCCTCCAGATTCATGCTAATGTTCATTAAAATATTTAAAAGTAAACAAAATTGAGAAGTGAACACAGGCAGTAAATAGATACAAACCACTTACAATCCATGTAAATAACAAAACCATACGGGCTAAAATATGCAAAAATTAACATTGCTGCAATACCTACGCACCAAAAAAAAAATATATATATATATATATATATATATATATATATATATATATATATATATATATATATATATATATATATATATATATATATATATATATATATATATATATATATATATATATTAATATAGCGATTAATACTGCAAAATCAATCAGTCATTTATAGCAAATAACATGTTAATTATTACTAATAATTGACTCATGATTGATTTTTTTTCTTTTCTTCAAATCTTTCTCAAATTTGATTTTCTTGAAATATTATGGCTCATCTGAAGGCACGCATCTTTAAAAGGTAATAAAATCGCAATGTCTTGAGATGTTCTAAGTAACAATCATCATCTCCCCCTGATCGACATTTTCATGAACAATCTGTCATCCGTATGCTATCTGATAATTTATTATAATTATTGGTGGGATTATAAAATTATTCTTCATTTAGTAAAATGATTTGAAAATTGCGTAATTCAACTTTTAACAGTTTTTATTTCAATAATATAACAGCATATTCAATAATGGGCCCAGACCAAAAGACTATCTATCTTCAGTGTAGATCATGATGTACTTAGGTTCAATGTTTTAATGACAATATTTAACGAAATGATGGTAACTCATAACAATATCGGATAATGTCAAATGTAACATTGAATAGTTTAATTGAATTGAAATATTATAATTACCCGTACTGACTTCATGTAAAAAACAGAACAAAAGAGCCGTTGAACGACTGTACGATAGCGGTAGGAAACACTAATAAGCCTTAAGGTAATCAACAATTATACATCGCTAGCTAGTGGGCGGATATTAACAACAAAAGGTAACAATTGTCACCAGAAACGCGAGTAGGATAGGTTAAATACCATTCCAATTAGTTAATTTATGAATTTCGTCGATTATACCAATAATGTAAATGATTATAATTGCTATTTAATTGGCAACTGTCCGGAAGCGCAAAATTCATTTGGAAATTATAACCTACTTAAATATTTTGCGTAAGAGAAATTCCTATATAAAGTTAAATATTGTTGTTGTATTTTTGGCAGTTTCGTTCTGATTTTAGTTATACACACACACTAAACAATAATATCTTGTTAATCGGGTTAAATACATGTTTATGACGTTGAAATGTGATGGTGTGTTGTCCTTATAAATATTTAGTTATTTAGATCCGGGGTGTTACAATACACGGCAACATAGGTTGATTCTAATTAAAAATAAGCACTGTTGGTCCCTCTCCTTTCCATTTTTTTCTCATAATAACATAGAAAAATAAAAGATTTATTTGAAGGGTCAACACAGGCTTATTAAAACAAAATAGGTTTTAAATGCATAGTAATTAAGCATTAAGACGATTGTCCATTTCAACTAAGATAAATCCTGTTCATATTTGTAGAAAATATTACAGAAATCGCAAATATTAAAATATGTTGATGTATTACATGGAACAGAATGGTGCATTTTACTGAAAAACATCACGTCTCAATTGCTTGACACTACGTACATATTTATTCTTTTCAAAAATTTGATAAGATGTGTTTGATTTGTTTAAAATTACTCATAAAATGAGTAAAATATCTTATCAATATTTTTTAATGCAAGTTGTTTATTTTTAATCAGCCATTTATGACAGTTACGTATTCCTTTGGGTTTACACCTCTACCAGCTTAAATAAGGACCTGTTGTCTGCCATGTTGTATATTGACGATACGTAATTGTCCGGGTCAAGCCGAACGTATCGATTTGTTGCTTTTGTTTTGATTCTGTAGTAGCCTGGTATTTCCAGGGTTACAAAGTATCGCATATGATCGTCATCAGTTTGGTCGTCACCATTTAGATATATACCACGCGCACCGGGCACATCATACCCATCGTATATGTATCGTGGCATAGCAACCGACTTGTAGTACATGGAAAAAATGGAAATAATTCATAAGAAATGGACATTATTTAATAAAATAGTGGTTAAGACTGTCGATTTGGTTAACCTTCAAAAAGAAGACAATTATAAGATACCAAGTTTTGCCAATTGTAAACTTTAACCTGCAGTGTATGCGACTTTTTTCGCAATCACAACTTGACTTCAAAGCGACTACCAAAACAACTTACACGTAAATCCGACCATTACAAGAGCCGTATACTAGCAGGTAAAATCTATGACATCAAGTGTGAAACTTGTTCGATATATTCTCGGTCTTTCTGTCTCTTACACGACCCCAAGAACAATATTAACACGACCAACTGTAGAAGTTGTCGGATAATGATCGGTATTGTATTAAATCCCCACCAATTATAGTGTTTCATACGCTTACAGCTTCTCAACCTAAATTGCTTCAACAAAATCGGTAAGGAATCGATCGTGATGCAAACCGAGGTAGAACAACTTACACCAACTGTCAAACAAGCAAGACTAGTCTTAATTACCTTAGTGAATGTTATTGAGTTTTGATAAAATCGGCTAATTAACAATGCATAATTTCGTCTTAAAATATGGTACATCGCTACTTTCTGACCAAAATTTGACGAGATCTCAGATCTGCGCAAAAATGAAGGTATGTAAGCTTTACTTCCGAAGCATTTTTTTGTAAAAAATTGCGTAAACATGAATTGTTTGAAAGAAGTGTATACATAACGAGTACATGTACGCATAGGCTACCGATGATAAATAAAACGAGCTTCTTTGCAAATATATAACAAAAAAGAATAAGAAAGTTTCATTATTTTGCAAAAGTAATAATTTTATGAAACAATCCTGATAATTTGCACCGAGACACTGGACATTGTATAGTGACATTTTGGTTAAATTTTGTTAAAATGTTGAAGTTATTGACTATGCATTAAATACATTGTCCGGTATTAAGCCATTTAAATCGAAAAACTTTAAAGACACAAGATATGCATGTATAATACACCTCACCTTTATTTTGTATGATCCGTCCGTCTGCTTCTCAAAAGTAAATCTTACAAAATTATCAGTTGGTTGCCATAAGGCTGTTACAACTTTTAGAATCTGATGACCTCCGTCGAAATGCCAAAATCTGTTGTTTTCCTTTGAGTGTATCTGGAACATTTTCCCTTCAATGTTAACTGAAAGGATAATTTATTTGGATAGTCTAACAGTGTTTTATTACTGTGGATTTAGAAGGATATTGAAGAAAACGAGCATTGCATGCTTGGTATATTTTTGTTTGCAATGGCATTTTCCTTATATTTGAAAAAAAAATCACTATTTAAATGAATTACATTCACTGAGACGCACTGTATAGGCCAAATTAAAGGTAAAACATCCACGTGAGATTATCCTGACATACTAGCTATCAAATATCATCAAGTACATTTGTATGTTTTTGTGTTTACCTACGCGCGTGTGTATCTGCATTTTTTGTTATTACTTGAGCAACGTTTATTGTAATAGAACTTTGTTTATTTCAAAACATTAAAATAAGATTGTTGAAACTCCATTTTAGTAAATGAACACATCAAGATTACTATCGTATACATATTTTTCAGTCAAAGTTCGGCCGTAAACTGATTGATTTTAGTTTGATTTTCTGTGTTATACAGGGATGAACTTAATAAAATTATTTTATAGGTCGCTGTGATTAAAAGTGTAAACTTATATTATTTCCTCGAAAAGGTCACAGTTTAATGTTTATTGCTGTAAAAACGGCTTCACACTTCGGTATGAGCTTTAGATGGGTTGTTTTGAATGAATGACAATTGAAGGTGTTTGAAAGAAGTTCATCTGAAGGCCGATATAAGCACCATGTTTGAAAATTATGACCCTAAACTTATGCGTATATGTGAGAAGGAGTTTTCAAATTCAGAACTTATGGCCTTGTGGTTTAAAAAGTTATTCTGGAATATGTCTTAAATCAGAATGTTTATTGGTTAGTGCATATTCTTTGCATTCTGAACAATTAGATTACCGAGATCTGTGTTTTTGCTAAGACAATCTTTTTACAACCTCTGGGCCAGATTCAAAATGTTCCCCAGACAAGTTACTCAACAATGCGTTTCTTCAGTATTGAAACATCTACATGCTTTGATAAGGTAAATTCTCTTTTCATTTGATAATGTTACTGCTTTTTGTAATGATTAATTTGGTAATTCAGGTGAATTTGGAGATCTGTTGCTTTTTAATAAAGTAATTTATTGCATATTTTAAGCCATAACTCATATTATTTACGAGATAAAGCAATGAATATACACATGAACAATATATTTGATGAATAAGTAAATATAGTTTTATATAGTAATCAATAAATTAACGTTACGGAAGTTCAAACATTTCTTAGGGTTGCAAACCGTTACCTTATTCGAAAAAATCTAACATTAAATTTGAAAAATGCACTTTATAGAGGATATTTGTTTGTTTGTGTAAGATGAAATTGTTTTTCATCGAGTGGGATTTAAAAACAGCATTCTCAAGAGTAGCGTAGCCACGAGTGAGAATACTGTTTTTAAGGTTCACGAGATGAAATAAAATTAAATCTTTCACAACAAACAAACAAATTTTCTTTTTATTTTATGCTTAAAAATAAGTTAAATCGAAATTTACTAAATATTAACGTTAATATTAAAATCTGTTTTCCCCATTAAGAGCCTCATTTAGTCGAATTTCTCATTAAATACAAGAAGTATTGGGCTGAAAAATAAGTTCGACAATCAACGTTTAATGGCGGGGATATTATTCATTTTATCAAAAAAATATGAATGATCGCTTGTTTTAATAATAAAAAAGTCCAACCATCCATCCATATTTCTTTTACTTACTGCGAATTTATATTAGACGTGGTTTTGTTAAATGTAAGCGGTCGCCATTTTTAAAATTGTGTATTTCACGGGAGGAAAATAATTGCGTTTGATTCAGAGAGATATCATACAGTCATACACCTTTTTAAAAGAAAGAAAACTTATTTGAGGATTGTAACAGACAATTAATAAGTGTTGACAGAAGTGTAATCATTCAAAAAGCGGCTAGGAAATTTGAAATTTGATTGTTGAAAGGCTGCCTTACGAACGTTGGGTTGTGTACTTATTATTCGGGCTGATTGGCTGTCATTGCTATTCACGTTTTTATAAAGCATACGACAGTTATTGCTCGTAGGATACTTAAATATGCCCAAATGTCTTCAAGAGCAGTTTTGCATGTGGACGGAAATAATTTTTCAGAATGTAAAAATGAAACAAAACAAAAAAGACACGATATTGAATGATTGGTAATTTGAATGAATAGAACTAAGTTTTCTTCTTTTTATTACTTTTGACATTTTAGTTTTTTATCAATTAAAGCTTTGCTTTTCTCTGAAAATTGTCAGTAAAAAAAAATTGAGGTACCACATGGGGAAAATCTTAAGATAGTAGTTTCGTCATTGAAAAGTGTGAAATTATCAAATATAATTTCACGGATAAATCAGTAATCCACTGAAAAGCATAAAATAAAATGTATAAATTTACATGGTGCGTGCGATAAATGACTGATTTTGCAGTATTTATTACGATATTTGTACTGCGTGACAATTTTTGCATAGTTTTACCTCCTTTTTGATGAATGCCATGTGAAATTTATAATTTACTTTCTTTGTTCACATCACAATATTTTATCTTTAAATATATCTTCAAAAATATCATGAATTATAGCACGGATTAAATAAATAGCAATATTTTTTTGTTCAGCTATTTAAGAAATGACACAAAACTAACATAGAAATTTCACAAAACTGATTTAGAAAAAACGAAAGTAGCTTAACTACAGTAACGACTAAATAAAATTAAAATTATGAATTTCAAAATGGAATTTGAATCTCGCAATTCTAGTAAATAACTTCTTAAATAGAAATAAAATCTTACTTTCTTTGATGTAAAACAAGGTTCCTGCCTGATCTTGTAAATTATCGTTTCCTCTGCAAAGCGTGCATATCGCTGCGATAGTACTGTAAAATACGCTTGTACATGTTGGTTGTCCTTCGCATAGATGTGCACAATGTATTTTACTCAATGTGGATACTTCAGAATATTTCTCAGTATCAACGCATATTTTATTGTTAGTATTTAAACCACCGAGGAAAGTCGCTGCTTGTACAGAACAACTGACCCGTCCATACTCATTTGACAGTAGAAGTGTGATAAAAAACGCGTATCTTAGCATATTTCTATTAAGAAAACAATCGTTATTTATAAAAAATACCTTATCAAAATAAATGGTCACTAACTCCGATAAAAATGTATGCCTGCTCGCTTTCTAATAGTAAGCTTTGTCAAAGTATCTTGCGAATAAGTATTTTGCCTTTTTATACCTCATTTTATCTTAGTTCAATCAACTGTCAAAAGAACAAATATTCTTCAACACGTTTTTTATATTCTCTTTTACCAATCAAATATGAAAGTAAAACCGCGGAAATATAGATTTCTGCAAAATTTTGGTCTGCTTAAGTACAAAACTTTAGACGTTGTATAACAAAATTTTGCTTGAATTTGCTTTAAAGATTAGGGTCACCCAAATAGAAGATTAATATAGAAATTAATGTGTATAAAAGACTACTTTAAACCAATAAGAAACTTGCTTGGCATTGGATTGCTGTATGTGTTCAATACATAACAATTAAGTGTTTACAGACAACTCAATAATATAATTATTAAATATTTGAATGTTTGAACCAAAAATAGTTTTGTTTTCTTTGACATGAGAGATAGAACATGTGGTGGGTGTAACACAGTACATGTAAACAAGTCGTTAATTGGTCATTATAATTATAACTAGCTCATTTACGATTCAGCAGTTCATGAAGTGCTGGAAGTTATAAATTATCAAGAAGTATCTTATAAAATACTCGGCCGAAGTAAAACTGGTAAACTTGCATATGTTATTTCTAAGTTGTTTCCGATACATATATAATTGTTTGTAATACTTGACAATTGCGCATAACAACGACAAAATAATGTCTTGTAGCTAAGAAAATACAAACATTTTGTAAACAAAGAAATTAAATAATAAGCATATTTATATTGATGTATGTTCAAAGTATGACAACTTCTGTTTTACAGTATTAATTAATGTGTCCTTATTATTTGCTGTTTTAAGTTTCTCTTCAGTGTTGTTATATTTATCTGGTCCTTCGGGATCATTGATGCCAGCACTATTAAGTGTTGAGAACTGAGTACCGCTCAAGCCGGTGCTAGGGGCGTGAGGGATGTTGCATCTATTCATTAACCCTCATGTACAGACTCAATCAAACCGAGTCTGCATTTCTTATGTAATTTAGTTGTGATTAATGCTTCCGAGGGATCACTTTGTTTCCAGATTTTTATACTTCACAACAGCAGGTGTCAAGTGCTATGTGGCAGCTGTAAAAAGTTGCCCCGTACTTCATTTCAGTGTTGTTATATTTTTCTGGTTCTTCGGGATCATTGAGGCCAACACTATTAAGTGTTGAGAATTGAGTACCGCTCAAGCCGGTGCTAGGGGGGCGTGAGGGATGTTGCACCTATTCATTAACCCTCATGTACAGACTAAATCAAAACGAGTCTGCAATTCTTATGTTTTAAGTTGTGATTAATGCTTCCGATGGACCACTTTGTTTCCAGATTTTAATATACATTTTGTAATCATATCGGCAGTATTATCAAAAGAATGGCATATGAAATATTGCAAATAGGAATAAAAGAATAATATGAGATAGTATAAAATCAACAAATTACTTAAAATCGCTTATAATTTAATTCAAACAGCTATGATGAAGAAGAAAAATATAAAACATTGTAAAAAGTTTGTAAAACGGCCATGAGTTCACAAACAAAACAGTTGTGATAACTAGAGATATACCTAAAAGTGGGTGGTTCATAATCCCACCCACCACATTAATTGTTTGAAAGTTTGGTAAAATCCGGAAAAATCGTAATAACCTTTCTTATGATACTATTGACAGGAAAGTGTGGCAATTAATCTTCAAAAATGGAACACTGAAAAATGTATGTGTTCTTGAATAAAGCTGTCATGTGCCGGTAAGTGAACGCAGCAGCTTACACCAACATATACGCAGTCGGTAGGCAATTATATTTATAGATACTTGATTTATATGCAAAATATGATCATTATAAACATTATATAAATATTAAATTATATTATAAGAACATTCAATGATCAGGTAATATACTGGACACTAATTGAACCCAATAAACTAAAGGTACATGTATCTGATAAGTTCGGATTTTTTATGTGTTTTTAGATATTTTCATAAGCACTAGCGTTAACGTTACTGTTGGTATCGTTATGTTGGACAACATTTAAAACTAAGTAAGTTCCTGTTTAAAATAAACTTAGAAAGTTCTTACTTAAAATAAACTCTTCACCAGAAAATTTAATGAAATCTTAACGCAGTGCTCAATGTTTTTAAGGAAGTATGGTTATACAGACCATAACTATCTGAGCAATTTAATTAGAAAGTTAAAAAGCCATCCTTAAAATTTTATTTTAGAATGATCCTTTACATTTTATTTAATATGGCAAGAACTATCCTTTACATTTTATTATAAGACTATCATAGAACTAAGAACTTTCACATTTTATATTCGAATGGCAAATGAGATTCCAAGATTTCAGCTCGTAATTTTAAAATGACCAATGAAAACTCTTCTTATGTTCAGTTCTTTTCTTGTAAATTTTACAGGAAGTCAAACTGAATATAGATGGCCTTTGGCAAATAAAGTTAAGTCCTTTGAAGTTATTAACACGATTTTAAGTGTATAAATAAATTTGTTTATGTTTTATTTCTCAGTGAATTTAAAATTTAACCATTATTTAAATAATTATATTAATACTGCTTATTCAAACCTAATAACACATAACCAATGCACTTCAAGCGTTTGAATCGAGTGATGTTCCAGTAGAAGTCATTATTGGATCAATTTAGCCTCGTTTAATTTTTCAGAATCCAAAACATTCGTATTAAATGCATATCACACCCAAATTAGCATCGGTTTCATTTTAAAAGTCCAAAGGGTTCAAATACATACACGTGTCTGATTTATAAGGTGGCATAAAAGTGACATTTTCAAATTTATTTTTTGTTTAGTTTTTGATACTTATTTTTTATTTTTTGTTTTTCGTATATATTTTTTTTTATTTTTGCATACATATTTTATTTTAGTTTTGATTAAATTTTTTTTTTAGTTTTGCATACATATTTTATCTAAGTTTTGGTTTTGAGAACATATTTTTTTTAGTTTTGCATACATATTTTATTTTATTTTTGTTATTCGTACATATTTTGTTTATATTAGTGTCTATTTGGAAAGGGCTGATGATTGGTGATCAGTTATTATTCCAGGAATGTGCACCACTCAACCCCACACCCTGAGAATAGCGGGGAGGGGGGCGGGGGGCATTGACGTTAAACCAAGCCGACCTCTGGTACAATATCCGCCCTGCGGGGGATACTCAGATAATAACAATACTGCCTTATGCCCCTGAACAGCGCAAACGTCAAAACACGATTCTTTTTTTAACCCGCACTCCCCGTAGCTGGGGAGGTGGTTAAAAATGACT